GGAGATGGCAGCTGCTGCCCATTGCACTCCTGGAGCAGCACAGCCAGACCTGAAGCATCAGATGTGCTGGCCCAGAAGCCTGACAGAGCTCCTGGTTTTAAGAGAGGAAGTGGCTCTAATGCGCTGCTGGAGCCTGTAGCCCCTGCTCGGTCTGGGGATTTGCTGGACACCTCAGGGCAGAGAGCCCCATTGGGGAGCACAGGGTAAAATTTTTTGCTGCTAAACTGTCAGGCAGCATCTGTGAAACACAGAATGGGCTACTGGGAGAGGGAGCTGCCTGGAAAGGGAGGTGCTTCAGCATGGAACTGGGGCTTTGGCCCACAGGCTCATCATCCCTAGGGCTTCTCTCTCCTCCCTAGAGCCTTGCTCTGTCTCCAGCCCTCACACACAATGCGTGGCTGCCAGCATGAAATCTCTTTGACATAACAGCACGTAGTTGCTGATTTTCAATTTTTCTCTCTCTCCCTCTTCTCCAGAGGAATCCAACAAGAAGCACCCCTTCCCCTGCCCCACATCCTACCGGACAGCCTTGACATACTACCTGGACATCACCAACCCTCCCCGCACCAACGTGCTGTACGAGCTGGCCCAGTACGCCACGGACAGCGGGGAGCAGGAGCGCCTCCGGAAAATGGCCTCGTCCGCTGCCGAGGGCAAGGTGGGAGCGCTGGCCTTCCCAGCAGTGCTGCTGGGCTGAGCTGGGTGCTGGGGGATCCCCAGAAGGGCCGTGCAGAGAGCCCAGGGGGTGTTTGCCAGCCACAAAGGGAAGTGGTCACGCGTGTGCCCTCCTTGCCCGCAGGCCCTGTACCTCAGCTGGGTGGTGGAGGCCCGCAGGAACATCCTGGCCATCCTGCAGGACATGCCCTCGCTGCGCCCCCCCATCGACCACCTGTGCGAGCTCCTGCCCCGCCTGCAGGCCCGCTACTACTCCATCGCCTCCTCCTCCAAGGTGAGTGTGCTTCCAGCAGGGAATGAGGCTGTGGAGGGACTGCTTCAGCTGCAGCTCCACAGCACCGCTGTCCTTGGCTGGGGACTGGACATGGGGAGCTTGTCCTGGTGATAATTTCTATCAGAGAGGCAGCTTTAGTTATCTCCATGCATGGAGTTATCCCAGCTCCCACAGGGTCTGCAGAGGGTCTCACAGCTGTGTCCCGGTACCACCCACACTCCCTGGGGCCCTGCTCCTCTTCACCCATCAGCCTGGCTGTTAGGACTTGGAAGAAGGTGGAATTTTAGGGGCTGGTCAAAATTCACTCATTACTTTATGTCTGAAGTCCTGAGGTGGCTGGAAATACCCAGGGAACCTCCATGGTCCCGTGATGAGTCAGGCACAGGACAGAAGCCCCATGAGGGGCGCGCTGTCCCAGTGTTAACATTAGGTTAAACTTCTCCTTCCTGAGCACTGAAGGGGAGCTGCGGGGACTGAGCTATGGGATTGCCGGGGCTCCCTCGCTGCATGGTGCCAACATCCCTTCCCTGCAGGTTCATCCCAATTCCATCCACATCTGTGCCGTGACGGTGGAGTACCAGACCAAGACGGGCCGCCTGAACAAAGGGGTGGCCACCAACTGGCTCAAGAACAAGGTGCCTGACCAGAACGGGAGCAGCTCCCTGGTGCCCATGTACGTGCGGAAGTCGCAGTTCCGGCTGCCCTTCAAGCCCAGCACCCCCGTGATCATGATCGGGCCGGGCACTGGCGTCGCCCCCTTCATCGGCTTCATCCAGGAGCGGGCCTGGCTGAAGCAGCAAGGTGAGGGCCCAACATCCTCCCTCTATATGCTCATTTCTGAAGCCTGTGGCCACTTCTGGGAATCAGCCTCAAGCTTCCCCATGTAATCAGAAGCAGTTGTGCAGCTCTGCCTCCCCCGGCTTGGCAGTACCAGGGGAGCAGAGAGGACAGGCTTGGGACTGCTGAGATTGGCAGGACAAGGGGAGTGTGGGGAAGGGGGACAGGGTTGTGGGCTGCCAGGGGCCAGCTGATGGGGGCTGTGTGATCCTGCAGGCAAAGAGGTGGGCGAGACGGTGCTTTACTACGGCTGCCGGCACGAGCGAGAGGACTACATATACCGGGAGGAGCTGGCCCGCTTCCAGAAGGAGGGAGTCCTCACCCAGCTCAACGTGGCCTTCTCCAGGGACCAGGCTGAGAAGGTACTGCTCTAGTCCCCCCATCATCCAGCTGTGGCCTTGGGGCTGGAGACATCCCAGCCTGGATGGCCCGTGGCAGGCAGGAGCACCCAGCACACCTCCACTGCCTCCAGAGCTGTGAGCACGGCCTTGGCTTCCCCTCCTCACCCCAGCCTGTGGTCCTGGAGGGCTCTGCTCCTCTCACCTCATTCCCACCTTGTTTCCTGCCAGGTTTATGTCCAGCACTTACTGAAGAAGAACAAGGAAAACGTCTGGAAGCTGGTTAATGAGGGGATGGCTCATATCTACGTGTGTGGGTAGGTCTGGTGGCAGGGAAGGGACTTCAGGAAAACGTTCCTATTCTCAGGAAAATTAGCGTGACTCGGTTTTCCCTGCGGTGCATTACAAGCCCTGGGAGGGTTACACTGTCCAGATTCCAGGGGAGGGCAAAGGGCCAGGCAGGTGGGCTGGGGTGAACCCTCTGTGTTCATGCAGAGAGGTGACAGGGCTCTGTGACTCTGGTGTCATACTGTCTCACTCACCATCCCTTTGTTCGCAGCGATGCCCGAAACATGGCCCGGGATGTGCAGAACACCTTCTACGAGATCGTGTCCGAGTTTGGGAACATGAGCCAGCCCCAGGCCGTGGACTATGTAAAGAAACTGATGACGAAGGGCCGGTACTCTCTGGATGTCTGGAGCTAAAAGTGGGGATGGCGGGGCCGGGGAGAGAACGGGTCCCCAGGCGTGGGCCCACGGGAGGTGCAAAGTGCCTGCTCGCCCACGGCTGCTGTGGGTGACGGTGTCGCCGGACCCCACAGCTACCCCGGTGTCACTCCCAACCCCTCCCGGGCCACAGCAGCCCCTCGGGACAGACTGTATACCCTGTGGGGTGGAAGGGGTTGAGAGGGGCAGGGGGGTAGCTCAGCCGCTGTCCAGGAGCCGTGGTGGCCCCGGCACCCCAAGGTGCACCTCGTGGCACCAGCATTTGCCTCGAGGTCAGGGACACAGCTGATGTGGGGCACAAGGGATGGACGCTGCCAGGAAGCTCTGGGGTCCTTCTCTGAACACGAGCTGTTGCCTTATCCCCGGGGCTGGAGCCCACCCTGGCCTGCTGGCACGGCAGAGGGGTGGAGGGGCCGGCAGCCCCCTGCACTCCCCCTGGGTGTGAGGGCCCAGGCTGGGCAGCGATCTGTCCTCACCTCCCTCAAGCCCTGCTTGTCCAGCTCTAGGATGTGGGGCTGGCAGCTGGCTCTGGGCACAGAGCTGTCTTGTGCCCCTCAGACCTCAGCACCCCTGTGCTCCTTTCCTGATGCCCACCTTTGCTCCAGCACACAGTGGGAAGGGGGTGGCTCCTCTCCCCTGGGGAACACACCTGGTTTTGGGAGGAGCGGTCTCAGTCCGTAGGGCCCTGCTTGCTCCCCGGGGTCCGGCAGCTCCCCTGAGCCCAGCCCCTCCCTCACACTGTGTATGATCATTTTTTAAATGCTGTTTTTATTTTAACATCTTTGTGATTTAAGCGTGGGGGCGGGGGAAAAAAACAAAAAAAGAAAAAACAACCTTTCAGGCTGTCCAATGATTGTAAATTATTTAAATACATTTGCCCTTGGAATAAAAACGCTGTGTCTGTAGTTTGCTTCCTGCCCTCTCTCTGCTCAGCCAGAGGGCAGAGGGAGGCAGGAGCATTGGATGGTAACTGAGAGAAAACCTGAGGACTGGGAGGCAGCTCTGGGTTTAGGCTGAGCTGGGGGCAGCCCCTGCCCTGAGTGTTGGGACCCGGTTGTGGGGAGGATGGCAGCTCTGGACTGGGGTGCTGCTGTGCTAAGCCTAATCTTTGGTTCTTCTGGAGCTCCTGGTGGTGGTATGGGGTGTCTCTTCCTTGAGCTGCAGGGACACTGAGGTCCTGCTGGGCTCCTTGGATGGCCACAGCTCTGGCCACAGCCCATGCACAGGGCTGGGCAGGCCAGGGGTGCCATGGGAGGGAAATCACAGCACTGCCTACGTGGCCCCCCTGTACCCTGAGCTGGTGGGGGGGCCACAGGGAGATGAGTTTTCATACAATCATGGAATCATTTCACTGGGAAAAGCCCTCTAAGATTGTTGAGACCAACCCTTAACCCAGCACTGCCAAGCCCACTGCTAACCCACGTCCCTAAGTGTCACACCTACATGGCTTTAAAATCCTCCAGGGATGGTGATTCCACTGCACAGCCTGTGCCAGGGCTGGACAACCCTTGGAGTGAAGACATTTTTCCCTAATATCCAATCTAAACCTCCCCTGGCACAACTTGAGGCTGTTTCCTCTTGTCCTATTGCATGTTACCCAGAAGAGACAAACCCCCACCTGCAACCTCCTCTCAGGGAGGTTGTGTCAGGACCCCCTTCCCGAAGAGCCAAAGCCACAGAGCACGAAAACTGTTCCCAGACCACCCCGGTGACCCGGGGCAGCGCCTTCCCTTTATTTTTACATCTGCACCCCCCAGAGATGCCAGCCCAGGGTGCTGTTTGTGCAGCTCCAGTGTGAAGCCTGGCCCAGGCTCCCGGTGCTCCCACCCCTCCTGAGCCCCAGGCCCCCTCTTCCCTGTGGATTGAAGGTGAGAGAGGAACTGGAGTAGGCACACCCTGAAATCCAGGGCTTGTGCACAGCCCCCAGCTGCCCTTGCAGTGATGAGGCTGCCCAGGGCTCTGCCTTCAACACACAGGGGCTGCAGGGCCAGGGGGGAAAGGGGAGCCTCGACCACGCCAGGAGCTGTGTGAGGCAGCTGTCAGCCTTGTCCCAGTGGGATGGGGAGCACCAGCATCCCAGAGAACAGCCCAGTAAGTGGGAGTGGCTGTCACAGGGTGCTGCTGACTCCCGGTGAGTGGCTTGGGCACGGATCCAGCACCACGGTGAACACACGGACTGTCCAGGAGCAGGGCCCAAGCTCTGTCCCACTCCCAGGCTTCCAAGGAATGGGATGAGACACCAGAGTCCGGACGGAATCGAGGAGAGATGTGCATGGGGGATGGAGGCAGCGGGGAGAAACAGTCCTGGCACCCACACTGCCCCCCTTCACTTCTCCTTCGTGTCTTTGTTCTTGTTCTGAAACTTCTGGTGGACAACACCGAGGGTGGTGAAGAAGTTCCCCAGGAAAAGGATGAAGAAGGGGAGGCCGCACATGAGGACCTGTGGGAGGCACAGAGGCACAAGTCATCAGGAGGGACCTGACTGGGGCATCCCCCTTGCCAGGGCAGCCCCCCTGGGAGCTTCCCTTACCTGCCACTCCTTGCATTCTGGGTGCTGGAGCATGCGGAAGAGGGTGATGGCGTTGTAGAGCTGCCAGAACTGCAGGAGAGAGGAGACTGAGGGTGTGCTCTGCTCTCAGAGGCTCCATCCCATGCTGACACTCATCCAGCTGCTTCCTCTGGGCACAAACCCCACCCTGACCTCATGTGAGGGCAGTGAAACCCCATCCAGGCTCGGGGTCAGAGGGCTCATCCCCAAAGGACTCCAGCCGGGACATCCCCTCCCCTTTTGTGCCACCTGGAGCCCAAAGGCCATGTGGAAGCCTCAGAGCAGCCTTTGCCCATCTGCCTCTGACCAAGGAAGGGCTTGATCCTCTGCAGCAGCAGCTTGGAAGGGCTTTGGAAAGGATTCAGAAGGCTTCCCACCACAGCCCCTCTGCTCTGTTCTGCACTTGGCAAAACTGCCCCATGTCCTCCCCATCTCATTGCTCCAGTTGTGGAGGGTGGTGGGTGCTTTGGAGGAAAAGGCTCAGAGTTTGTTGGAAGCATTTCCCTGCCCCTGGTGTCCCATATCACACGGCTGCAGCAGCCTGTGGGGACTCTGGGATGTCCAGGCTGTTGACCCCACAGCTGGGACTGCAGCACGACCTGCTCCCACCTGAGGCTGTGGCCTCTTGCAGGGATCAGTGCAGACTCACCTGCCCAAAGAAGAGGAAGGGAAGCAGGAACGTGAGGCCTCTCCACATCCAGGACTGGAAACCCTCTGCAAAGGATGAAGGTTTGTGTGAGGACCTGGAACAGGCTGGCAGGGAGCAGATGGAGCCCAGAGCCTCTGGACACAGGCAGGGAGGCTCAGTGCCCTCTCCATATGTGGCTGAGAAGGGCCTGCCATGCCAACCTCACCATGGGCAGCTGTACTAGCAGGGGGGATGGTGGCAGGGACTCCTAATACAGCAGAGGAAGCTGCTCCAGCGTGCTGGAGCCCCTCAGCCCAGCCCTTGGTGTCACAAGGCCCTGGGAGGTGACAGCCCACAGTACATGGGGTGCTGGAGGGATATTTCATGTCTGAAAGAGCTTCCTGGGGAAAGCTGGGATGCCAAGAGCCACATCCACTGCCACCTCACATCCCATGGGAGCCAGCTGTGGGCTGGTGGTCCCAGGAGAGCAGGAGGAGAGGGGGGTACCCAGCCTGTGAGGTGCTGCTGCCCTATGGGAGATGCTGCTCTCAGGTTTGGCTTTACTTGTAGCTTTTACTGCTTCTGCCACTGATAAATCACAGCCAAACTGACCTCAGACCAAACTGCCACCGTTACCTTTAACAGGACCCACAGCTCCCAGTTAGCTGAGGCTGGCCTGGAGCTGGAAGGGAGGCCTGGGCAGCCACAGGCCCTGCAGCAATGGTGGGTCCAGCTGGACTGGGACAACCCGTAAGGGGAGATCCCGACTTACCCACGGTCAGATCCATGTTGTGCCTCTCGCCCAGCGCTCGCAGACGGTACAAGCACCCACTCTGGTAGTAATACTGCAGGAACTGCACAAAGCCTGCAAGGAGAGCGTGGCTGCTGTCAGCAGGGGCCCAGGGGATTAACTCGTGGCCCCAGCTCCATGATGACTGCCCACAAAGACCACCCCAGCGCCAGGGAGGTGAGAGCAGGACAGAGCCTGAGGGAAAACGCTGATGAGCTGAGAGCTGTGAGCAGCAGCAGCCACGTCTGCACGTGCTGCAGAGCCCCACAGGCATGCTCAGCACCCCAGGCCAACCACAGCCCCTGTCCCAGCACAGCACTTACTCTGGTACATGGAGAAGGAGAGAAACTGGTTCCTGAACATCTGGTACATGAGCCCATCCGGCCTGTGGAGAAACGGTGGTGGCTGGGGGACGTGGGGCTGGGAGGGGACGGCCAGTCCTGCCTGCCCCACAGCCCCTATGGCTTCAGGTCAGGGCAGCAAAAGCCCCTGTGCCAGAGCCACCCACAGCCCCCTGTGGGACAGGGGACACACACTTACCATGTCAGCATGACACCTGAGAGGAAGGTGGAGATGTAGTGATGCAAAACCCACCAGCCTTTGATTCTGGAAGGCAGACACAGAGAAGGGCTGTCAGGTCCTGAGCGTGAATCCTGACCCAGAGGTGCACCAGCAGAGCGGAGCAGCCCATCCCCAGCCACCTGACAGCTCCCAGGGCAAGGTGAGGAGCGGGGCTGGTTGTGAAACATCCGTGCTTGGAGCAGGACCCGGTGCCTCCGGTCTGGGCAGCACCGGGAGCCGGGGCCCTTCCAGCCACCACTCCACCTTCCCGCGCCGCCTCCGCACAGGGAGTTCCTCCTGCCCTGCTCCTACAGCTCGTAACACGGCTTGCTACACACCCTGAGTAGGAGGGAGCTGCTCCCTTGGGAAGCTCAGAGCTGCTTGAGGGGCCCCAACATCCCAGCTTTGCGGGGAAGGAACAACTCGCTGCACCCCCCTCCCTGAGCCTGGGGACTCACTTGGATCCGTTGTTGATCAGGATGCTCTCCCGGATGGTGAGGGTGCAGTAGTACCACACCAGGAGGAAGTTAAAGACGGCATCTGTCACCCTGGTGTCACACAAAGGAGGGTGTAAAGGGGTGTGTTGGGGGCACTGGCACTGCTGTGGGACACCCACCCACCATGGGCAGGGACCTGCTTCCCCCCCACCCACCACGGCCACGGCCAGACTGCAGCAGCCACAGAAGACACTCCAGTGCCCAGATCCTTCATCAGGATCTCCCGTTCAGCTCTGGACCTTGCAGGATGGGAAAGGAGGACACAGGGACCCTGGGAGGAGATCTCTGCCCAGGATCCAAGCCAGACTCACCGGGAGTTGAAGAGGAACCGACAGGAGGAGGAGACAATGAGTAGGATGATGGTGAGGTAGAGCTTGAACTTCTCATATTCATCTTTATAAGCAAACCTGCAGGGAGGCACAAGGACTTGGAGCAAAGTGGCTGCTGGAAGTCTCTGTCCTTCCATCCTACCCAGCTGGACAAAAGTGATGTTCCATTGGGAATCTCTGGGACACACCTGGGAAAAACCTTGCCTTGGGGGGTATTTCTGAGAGGAGCCCACACCAGGCTGCTTCCACACAGGTGGGACATCTTCAAGCACTCCAAACCACCCCAACCTGTCTGGTGGGCCAGGCTATGGGGAAGCTGGGCAGACTGGAGTCTGCACAGGTCTCCAAGAGGAGGACTGGGGAGCAGAAGGAGCAGCAGGCTCCTGGCTGGGCATCTCTGCCATGGGGAAGGCTCTCCTGGGCCAAAACCAACCACTGGTGTTTCCCCAAAGGAAGAGGAGGGGGGCTATCCACTGCCTGTCTTTCCTGGAAGTGCCTAACACAGCGGAAACCCAGACATGGCTTTGGTGGAGGATCCTTTTTAGCTTGTCAGAGCTAATGGTCCATCCCAGCCCAGTGGCAGGAGCTTGAAGGGGAGTCAAGGATTTGGCTGATTCTGTGAAAGGCTGTAGAAAACAGCCCAGGAAGGGAATCTACAGCAGGTGGGCTAAGCCAGCCCAGTGTCTGCCCGGGAGGAGCTGTTGTTCCTGGTGCCAAGGGGACCCCGAGCCAGGCAAAGCAGAGGTGGCAGCGAGGAGGGAGCCGTACTTGGCCTGTTTGCTGAGCAGTGTGACGTTCACATTCCCGAGCACCAGACTCAGATATAACCTGAGGAGAGAGCAGAGGTGTTAGGGTGGGGACCTGCCCGTGGAGCTGTCCCCTCTCATGCCACTGCTGGGGCCAGGGATGAGCTCCCAGCTGATTTCCCCTTGGAGCTGCCAGGCACAAACACTCTGGCATCTCCTCCCCAGGGCAGGGGGACAGGTGGCCGAGCACACACCCCACCTCCCGTGGGCACTGGGGTGTTCACCTGGGCTTCCCACCCCACACAACCACTGTCCAGGGGTGGATGAAGGCCCTGAGCAGGCAGAGGAGTGAGGGGGAAGAGGGCAGTGCTGCAGAGGCTCAGCCTGGCTCCTGCCCACGTGTCCTCCTGTGGAGCCCAAGTGGAGCAGCAGAGCTGTGACACCCCCAGGGGCAGGGTGACAGCAGCCTTACAGCCATGGGGATGTGGAGGGTAGACCTGGTGTTTCACCCAGAGCTGAGGTGCCTCTTACCCATTCTTCTTTGGCAGATAGGCCTCCATCTCGAAGAAAACGTTCTGCCTCTCTTTAATCAGGTTCTCTGTCTCTTGGATGGAAGATTCCTGCTCGGGGCTGGCGTGGGCTTTGCATCTGGGGAGCAAACACAGGCACTGGCAGCACGAGAGCCTCTGCAACGTGATCAGCACATGCTGGCACTCCACAGGCAAGGACACCCCAAGGACAGCAAAGGTAGATGGGAGGCAAGTCCATAACTCTGTCAGGCTGGGATGCTGCCCAGGAGAAGGAAGCAAGAATGGGAGTGAGGTGAGGCCTCACCCTCGAGGAAAGACAGGGAGAGCTTGGTGCAGGAGCAGGAAAGGTCATGGTACCTGCAAAGCCCTTGCAAGCTCTGAACTGCAAATGGGGCACAAACTGGGGCACAGGGAAGGGAGGCTGGGGAAGAGCTGCCTCTCGCAGCACTTTGCCATGAGTGAGGCTGCAGAGAGGTTTGTATTTCACACATGAGGTGAGTTCAGTAGCACCATCCTTGCCTCTCTCCCCTCCCGTGCTGTCACAGGACACCAACTTACTTTTTGAGGGAGAGTGAGAGCTCCTTCAGCCGCTTCTTCTGCCGTGCGATGGAGCTGGAGATCCCGTCCTGCAGCTTGGTCAGCTCCTCGAGTTTCTGCTTGTACAGCCTGTGGTTATCCTGGGAAGGAGAGACCAGCAAGCATTAGACCTGCCTGCTGAGACATCCCTGTCCTTGAGCCCTCCATGGGGGCACTGCTGATGTTTCTGCTAAAAAATGTCCTTAACTTCACCTGCACAGCAGCTGGATGAGAGGAGGGCTGGCTGCAGAGGACCAGGTGTGTTTGGGGACAGCCTGCAGCCAGCCCTGCTTCCATGGGGATGCCCATCCCCAATCCCAAGGAAGGCATCTACAGTTGCAGGCACATCCACAGGACACAGCCTGGTCCTGCCCTTGCACATCCCTCGTGTCCAGCCCCATCCAGCTGTAGGCTGTGAAAGTCCAGCCACCAATGTGGTGATGCTCCCATGGTTGGGAGACCACTGACTGTGCACAGAGGATAGGAAAGACTTGGAAAGAAATGCTGTTTGAGCCAGGGCTGTAACTGAGGGCTGTGGCCACCTGGAGAGGCAGCTTTGAGTGCTGGGATGGGAAAAGTGACTCTCTCTGCCTCCAGGTTTGTGCAGCACCTGCTGCTGCCCTGACTTGTGGCTCTGGGCACCCTGGGAAGCTGGAAGGAGCCTGTCAATGAGCTGGATAAAGAGGACGGACTCACAGCAGGGCTGCAGCCAAGTGCCCGGTAACCCAACCGCACCTGGGAACGGCTGGATGCCACTCTCCACTATATTTAGCAAGGAGAGGGCGTGCTGGATCAATGCTGCTGCCTGTCCAGGTCAGCTGGAAAACAGTCTCACCTCGGCCACAGCAGCCTGAACGCCACTTCCACCAGGGAATTACACGCTGCTCGCAACCACCCTTGGACTAGACTTTGGCACACAAGTTTTAGCTCTTATCAAGCACTTGATCAGCAGATTTAAAAGTTGTTCCCAAAGGAGAAAGGTGAAACTGAGAGTAGAGGAGGGAAACCTCCTTCTGGTGACAAGCAGTAGCAGATCTGGATCCCAGACAGTCCCAGCTCCCCAGCAGTGATTTATGTCCCAGATCTCTCCCAGGGCATTCCCTGCTTGGCCATCAAGCTTTCCTGCTCCCATCTGGAGTCACCTTCTCCTCTTGCTCTGAAGTTAACTGTGAGCAAGTGGCTTTTGTGACAAGTCCTTTAGCTGTGCCAGCATCCCAGCACCACGCTCGGGGACAGCCTGGATCAGGAGCCACCCCGGCAGGAGGTTTCCAATAGGAAGGGCCAGCGCGTGTAGCCGCACTCAGGGTTCGAAATGGGTGAACCGGGACATCCATGCAACCCCTATGGAGCAAGAGGAGGTTTCTCAAAGCCTCCCTTGCCCCAGATCTGGGCACAGCAGCGACGTGCCCGCAACAACATCCGCTTCACCCCGCTCCCGGGGGGAGGGAAGGACGGGGAAAGGGAACTGGTGCAGCTGCAGCTGAGTGACCTGAGCAGCAGCGAGGGATGGGGTTAGCCAACCTTTCCCTTGGGTGACCCTGTCTGAGCTGAACCCTGCCCACTCCTTCCCCCGGCAGCCCGCGCCCTGGGGATTACACAAAGCAGGTGGAAGCACCTCTGATACCTGTCACCTGCCTGGCACGGGGCCCCCGGTGGGCGGCAGGGCACGGGAGGGAGGGGGACGCGGTACGGAGGGTCGGGACAAGGAGCCTGGCCGCCGTGTGCCCGGATTCCCGTTGATCCCGGCCAGCGGAGCAGTTTGGCTCCCGTCCGACCCGAGTGGGGCTGACAGGGGCGATAAGGAGCGATGAGGAGCGTGAAACGGCACGGGCGCACCCCGTCCGGCCGTGCCACGCCAGCTCCCAGCCCTGGGACACCGGGAGGTCCGGGCTCTCTCCACGCCAGCTCCCAGCCCTGGGACACCGGGAGGTCCTGGCTCTCTCCACGCCAGCTCCCAGCCCTGGGACACCGGCAGGTCCGGGCTCTCCACGCCAGCCCCGCGCCGGGCCGGGGGCTCAGACGGGCGGACCCCGCTCCTCGGAAAGCGCCGTGCCCGGCACAGCCTGACACCTCCGCCCCGCTCCCAACCGCTCCGCCCGGGGGTGCAGGGCCGGGACACGAGGAAAAGGGGGAAAGCGCCCGCGCCCCGGGAGGGAGCCGCCGGCTGCCCGCGGGACCCGTTGGCGATGCTGCGGGGGGCGCCCGCGGGGGATCCCCCGGGGCGCTGTGCCGGCCACCGCCGGGTGGCGGGGCGGCCCCCGAGCCCCCCGGGCGGGGATGCGGCGGTACCTGGATGCGCTGGAAGCCGTCCTGCAGCTCCTCCCACTCCCGCAGGCACTCGGCGACCGAGGCGCCCGCGGCCATGGCGGCGATGGCGGAGCCCGGCCCGGCCCGCGGCCACCGCGCCGCTGCCCCGCCCCCTTCCGGACACGCCCACCGAGGGGCGGGGCCAGTCACCCAGGGGGCGTGGCCAGCCCGGCCTGTCATTCCCATTCCACGGACTCTTCCTTTAGTGGGAATGTTTCTGCCAGGTGGGAGTAGTACTCTGGTATGGAGGCCCCCTGTATTTAAAGCAGTTCGCTTTTTGGGCAATTGGAAGTTGAAACCCTCGCTGTTTTTTTTTTTACCTTAGTGTTCAGAGTGCTTTATTGAAAGCAGTTAAATGGACCCGAGCATTGTAAATGGCAAACACAGAGCGCTAGGAAAGTGTTTTCTGGAATGTTTTTATTTTGAGATGTCAGTGAGCAGACAGGATTGAGGCTTCAAAACTACCAGCTGTGCCAAGAGGTTTGGTGGTTGGATCAGAAGGTGGCAAGTGGGAAGGGTGGTCTTCTCAACAATTCAACCAGTGAGTCTGTGGGTAGCTAAGAAGGCACTCGCAGGCTGAGGGACTTCTGAATCAGGGAAATTCTGTTGTCACTCTCCAGGCTGGAAGTGGCCACAGTCAGACTCTAAATCTGTCATTCCATGCTATGGATAAGGAACCTTTTCAGAGATAACCCTACTATGGTTATAATCTCCTCTGCTTACCAAAAAAGAGATAAACAGCCTGTAGCGGGTCTCATCCTGCAGCACTTGCATTCCCCAAACTGCCACACCTTCTTCAGCACCGCTGAGTTCTCCAGGAGGCTCCAGAAGTTGACCCAAAGTAGCATGGAGCTAAAGAGGAAAGCTTTTCCACTGAGGTCTTTTTTCAAACAGCACTCAAGTAGTTTTCTTGGTGGTGTGGAAGGGAGTGCCTTTCCCTGCAGAGTGTTCCCTGTCAGTAATTTGGCTCAGAGATGTCTGTGATGTTGGACCCATTGATTTGGCTCTCCCAGGCCGAGAGCTGCTCCACAAAGCCCCGGTGGGGTCTCATGCTCGGGTTGCACTTCAGGAGGTAATCCCAAGCTCCCTGTAAGCAGAAGAGAAGGAAAGAAGTGTTAGGAATTGAACTGAAAGTCATGAAACAGCTACGCTTGTAAGACAACACGGCTTTGTATTTGCTCCCTGTGCTGGACAGCAAGAACCTGCAGGTAAGACTTTGGCTGCCAAAGCAGGACAGGCTGGATCCAGATGTGGACTTCAGAGAAGCCTGTCCTCTTCATACTCTGCTCTCCTGGAGAGCTCAGGCTGCTTTCATTACCTGGCAGATATCCTGCATTATTTTATTTCACACCGATGGAGAAATCCAGGCCTGCATTTTCTACCCTAAAATGCTGTTCCTTCCACAGATGATGAATGAAGCAGTGAAGTATCAGCTATTCACAGGTAAGCAACAAAGGTTATCATGGCTTTGGATTGGTGTGACCTGATGTGGCAGAAGCAGCTATGACCCTGCAGTTATCCCACTGCACTAATTACAGCCATCCTAACTATTTATTAGTTGCAAGTAATCACCTAGGGACTCTGACACACACAGGGCAGATCCACCAGCATTGCTGTGCATTACTTCAGCTGCATCCCTGTGTTTTCCCAACAGTGCTCATCTTCCTGCTTGTAAAAGAGCTTGCCCCCTGCACTTGGAGTGTTGCTTAAGTGTAATGAGACCAAAGGTCAGCAGATAGTGCTCCATTGGTTTGTTTTTCTAATCTCGGTGATTCTGCAGGCTCCAAGGCTTATCTTCCAATATTTACTCCTCTGGGACCACAGTGTGGGTGTCTCCAGTTCCCCTGGACTCCACAGATCTACTCCCATATTGATTACTAACAGAATAAGGGGCCAGACATCCCAAATCTGCCTTGCTTTTGGAAGCTTTCAAAAGTCTTTGCCTGGATTGGCAGGAGAATCACACAGGAATCTGTTGCACTGCTTTTGTCTGCAAGAAACAAACTTGCCTGCCAGGGTAATCCCCACAGGAAAGCTTTGCCCAGCCAACAGTGGGCAAGAACTGCCCTGTCAACCTTTTCTTCTTTCTTTTTTTTTTTTTTTTTTTTTTTTTTTTTTTTTTTTTTTTTTTTTTTT